GACATGTGAAGTGAGCGCACACTGTCAGACACACAAAGTAGTATTTACAATACCTGTTACTTCACAGCGGTTTCTCTTGTTCATCATGCAACGTAAGAGAACCAGAAGGACATTAAGGATGATGGTAAAAGTTAGAGCTCCACTCAAGAAATACACCAAGATACGAGAGTCCTTCTCATCTGTAGAGAAACAAAAACAGGAGACATTACACAGCTTAAATCTTAAGGGAAATACAACAGTTGAATAAAAAGGTCAAAATCATTATATTGGCTTTAGAAGTATTTTACTGATTATATGAATAAGAATGAATAACAAATCCTCAGATTGAAATGACTTACCTGGAAAGTTCAGCTTGGTCCCGTCTCCAAACAGAATGCGTCCACACGAGGCAACAGCACAGTAGTAGGTTCCAGCATGAGACGGATTCAGGCTCTCCATTGGCAGGTTGTAGTCACAGGTGGGTGTTTGTGTGTTGGGTTTCCTCTCACACTGATCAGTGCTGCCTCCATCAGTGTAAATGAGTGCTGGATGAGATTCTTCAGAGTCTTTGAACCAGTAAACACTGTGTTGTCCATCACAGATCCCAGTTTGTACTGTACAGTTCAGAGTCACAGAGCCTCCTGGCTGGATGGTCTCTGATGGTGTCTGATGGAGCAAAGTTGGGATGTTTGAACTAGAACCCTGTACACTGACAGTAGTTGTAGTAAAAAAATCCAATTTGTGTGTATTACTGCTCACACAGTAGTAAGTAGCTGAGTCATTAATTTGCAGATCTTTTATCGTCAAGTGATTCTGATCATTTTCAGTATCCACTGTGTAGCGTGAATTCTTGAATTCAGCATTGAAAGTCGCTCTTGTGTACCTGTAGGAGGTTGAGATGAGCCTTGGTTTCTGTCCCAGAGTGTGTTTAAACCAGTAAAGCTTTGCTGCTGAACTGGCTTCATAAAAACATTTTAACGTCAAGTTTCCCCAAGTTTCAACTGATAGAAAACTATTCCCTTGATGAACAGATGAGAAGGAATCCAGGTCGGTCGTCTGAACTGAAGCGATACAAGAGACGAAGCGATTACACTTCATGATACTATGAATCAACACATCTGAAGCAATGCCATCAGGAGTGGCCACACACTTTAAAAGATTCAAACTGAAGTCACTAAAACACAACTCACCCATTTTCCCCAAGAACAAACATGTCAGATAGAAGATAAACTTTGCAGATGTCATCGTGTTGAAATGATTGTGTTGAATGAGAACAATCTTCATTCCTTCTACATTTTTCACTCACAAGACTGTGTTTGATTGGCCAACAAAAAAGTGACAGTACATCCTACTCAGGAAACACGATCACATGCTCACTGCCTCCTATTGAGGCAAATTAGTTTATTGAGCGACTTGTCCACATAATTAGATGTATATGAATGAAACAGTTTAAATCCGTGGAAAATGACAAATATTTGTATCAAACATTCATTTTATTTTGTATAGCGACAAATGGCAAATTACAAACTTGCCTCAGAGGGCTTTACAGTCTGTATTACATTACATGTCATTTAGTCACTCCAAAGCAACTTACAATAAGTGCATTCAACCATAGGGTACAAACTCAGAAGAACAAGAAACAAGAAAGTGCAATTTCCTCAAATAAGCCAATATACAATTTGCTATAGATGAGTGGCGTTATAAGTACAATTTAAGTGTTACAATTTGTTAGTCTTTTAACCGAGGTAGAGTCTGAAGAAATGTGTCTTTAGATTGCGCGAAAGATGTGAAGGCTCTCTGCGGTCCTGGAGTCTTCAGAGAACTCGTTTTTCCATTTCAGAGCAAGGACAGCAAAGAGTCGTGATCTAGTCGAGTGTGTTGCTCACAGTGAGGGAGGGACGAGCAGTTTTGCAGATGCAGAGCGGAGAGTGCGGGTCGGGATGTAGGGTTTCACCATGTCCTGGATGTAAGCTGGACCCGATCCATTCACAGCATGGTAGGTGAGCACCAATGTTTTGAACTGGATGCGGGCAGCCACTTGTAGCCAGTAAAGAGAGCGGAGGAGTGGAGTAGTGTGGGAGAATTTCGGAAGGTTAAAGACCAGTCGAGCTGCTGCATTCTGGATGAGCTGCAGAGGTCGAATGGCGGTAGCAGGGAGACCTGCCAGGAGGGAGTTGCAGTAGTCCAGGCGTGAGATGACAAGAGCCTGAATCAGTACCTGGGCTGCCTTCTGAGTGAGAAGGGAACATATTCTCCTGATGTTGTAGAAAGTGTATCTACAGGATCGTGTTGTCGCAGTGATGTTGGGAGTCAGGGAGAGTTGGCTGTCGATAGTGACGCCGAGGTTCCTAACGGTTAAAGTGGGCGTTAACAGGGAGATGCCAAAGTTGACAGTCAAGTCCTGGGTCGGAGAGTCTTTTCCTGGAAAGAGAAGTAGTTCAGTCTTGTCGGGGGGTAGATTTTCAGGTGGTGGACGGACATCCACTGAGAGATGTCAGTCAGACAGGCAGAGATCCGTGCAGCCACGTGGGTGTCCGAGGGAGGGAAAGAGAGAATTAGTTCGGTGTCATCGGCAAAGCGACTCAATTTTCTCATTGTTCTTTGTTGGATCATCATTTCTGGGAGAATTGCAGGCGCTTCTCAGCTCCTGTGTCTCCCTGGTCAATTTGTCAATCCGAGTGTTCACATTGTTCACAAATAATAAACAGTCTTGAAGTTGTTTTCTTGCTGTTGCAAAAGTTGCATGAACAGATCCCTTTGTTGACTCATTAGATCTCGTTCCTGTGAGAGCGACACCAACTCCTCTCCATTACTTTGGTTGCTGATTCGGTACTTCTTGGGTGGCATGATGTGCTGGGATTCTCTGCTAGGAAATCCTCAAGCTTCAGCAGATGAAAGTGGGCCGAGATTGTATCCACCAAAAATCTCATCCACCGCTTTCCACTAGTTTACTTATAAAACAGAGTTTCAGAGTGGATATTTAAAAAAATGAAAAGTTCTTAGGTTAAAATCAAAGTGTTGATAAATCACACACAAACAGAGAGCCCAGTGCAAAAGGAACCCTTGCTTGCCTCAAGCTTTGTGTTAACGGATCCCACAAAACCAGCTGAATCCACAAAAACGACAGTGAAAGTGAACAAACCGACACGCGGATTCTCTCCGGAGCGCCCTACTCTGCTTTAACTGCAGTTCTTTTCCTTTACACGGATTCCCTCTGACTGTCACCTCCCACTTCTTCTTACCTGCCATGGAGGAGCTAGTGCGCTGCTAAGGACTTGATGCCTTTCTGGCTTCATTTCTGTCACGGTGTGGTTTTATTTCCTGTCTTATTTTGTAGTTTTCTACTTCTTGTCTCCCTGGGTAACTTCACTTCCTGCCTTGTCCTGTCATCGTCTGTGATTGTCTCATTGTTTCCACCTGTGTCCAATCACCTGCACCTGCCTAGTGTTTTTAAGCTGTGTGTGTCTCGTGTCTCCTGTCATTTGTCGCGTCATTGTCTATCGTCTGGATTGTGTCTCGTTCCTGTCTGCCCCCCCATTTGAACATGTTGACTATTAAGTCTTTTTGGTTTAAGTCTGCATTTTGAGTCCTGCCTTCCACGCATCCCTGACAATTTCCATGTATGTTTAAGGGATGCTTCATCAATCAATGAAGTTCAATTCTCAATGCAGCTTTTGTTTGAAAACTATGAATTTTAGAAGAACATACAGACACAAAATACTTAAATAAAACTTGCAATGTGAACACATCCTGCTTACAACCACACAGACAAAACAATAAGAGAGCATAGGTTCATGAATAAACCTATGACTGGCATTCTCAAAGCATACAAATATTTCATCTGTTGACTACAAACCACAAGGGTGTATACAAAGATTATTACATCAGTAAACACGTACAGACTGCAGGCTATTTTTGGAGGAGTAATCAGCACATTAATAAATCTTCAGGCTCTCCATCGGCAGGTTGTAGTCACAGGTGTGTGTTTGTGTGTTGGGTTTCCTCTCACACTGATCAGTGCTGCCTCCATCAGTGTAAATGAGGCCTGGATGAGATTCTTCAGAGTCTTTAAACCAGTAAACACTGTTGTCCATCACAGGTCCCAGTTTGTACTGTACAGTTCAGAGTCACAGAGCCTCCTGGCTGGATGGTCTCCAATGGTTACTGGTAACGGTAAAACCTGAACAATGCACACTGACAATGATGCTAACCAAAATTTCTAATGTTAATAAATAGCAACTACTGCAGAAGTAAGTAGCTGAGTCTGAAATGTTCAATTCAGCAAAAAAAAACTGAATGTTATCATTTTTAGTATCCATTATGATACTAAAAATATTCTTGAATTCTCAGTAGGCTAAATATATTTTTACAGGCTGACTAGAAATGGGTCCGGAATTGAAACAATGAACCAATGGCTGGAATTCAATCATGCATTTGATTTGCCCGGTGGCTAACCATTTAGCTACCAAGAAAATTTTGACAAATCTTTAAACTGTTTTTCCTCATATAATGGAATGGTAGGATCATGTAATGTTTTTTTTAAAGTATTGTGTGAGTATTTCTTCATGTGAAGAAGAGTTAAGAATATTACTTTAGACTGTTTTAAATAGAAAACGTTGTTGCCCTTCTCTGAAATGACTATCTAGAATTACAAGAGGTCAAGCAAATGGCTTAGAAGATGTCAACATAAAAATGAATATTGATTCAGTGTTAATTTCGTCAACGAAAACTATGACAACATTTTTTTTGTTAACGAACCTTTTTTCCATGACTAAGACGTGACGAAAACGATCTTAAAAAATAAAAACTATGACTAAATCTGTTCTAACTTTTGTTAACGAGACGAGACGAACATGTTGGTGGTTGACAAAGTCACAATACTTTTTCCCCCCAAATTTGCACGCAGCTAACAGACAACAGACAGGCAAAGTACGGCGGATATTAACGCATAATGGTGACGTCATCCACAAACCCAGAACGCATGCTCGCAGCGGTGGTTCTTGTGCACCGACTACGGAGTACGACTATTTTACGCTTCGGCGAGTTTGAATGTGCGCTTCCTTAGTTTAGGTCAGCTGTCTCGGTTTAGCTGACTGTTAGTAGGCTGAAGCCGCACTGCTTCAGAGAAACATGAAGACCCGTTTAACAGGCTGTCGGCCAGCAGAGATGCGGTTGCGGTGTCGGCCACCACGCGGACCTTTTATGCTCTAATCTCTGGCGACGGCAGGCAGCGTTTCCTCGGCTGGATGAGACGCTCCGTCACAAACGCGTCTAACATAATAAACTCATTGCAGGTTCTAAAGCCAAGAAAATAATGTATTGCACCGATTGTAGGACGTTAAGGGGTCTCTTTTGTTGGAACAGTGGAAACAATAAAGGACCATAAAGTTTCCGGTGGCCATGTCAAAAGCATTGCAACTGAACAGACAAAGACAACAAAGTGTTGCGTTTAGATCCCTGGTCCTCATGAAGTTGTTACACTTTTGCCAATTTGTTAAATTGCCTTTTTTAATGAATAGTTTAGCGATTTGTTAAAATCCAAATCCTTTCATGTAATGATTTTTCACATGTCATTTCTATTAGCTCACACAAACACTTCAACCATTTGTTCTTGGCCCGGCTCCGCCGTCACATTTTACAACCCATTGTGGCCCGTGAGTCAAAACGTTTGCCGACCCCTGCTATAGACCTGTCCTATGAGGGACATCTAATGGACAACCAAGTACTGCAAGCTAGACTATTATGCAGTTGTAGACACAACACAGGGGGTCCCTGAGCCTGAGAAGGGAAAAAAGAAGATTAATATGGCTATTAAATGTGACTACAACTAGACTAAAACTAATTACATTTTAGTCTAGTTTCGTCGACTAAAACTAAACTAAAATGTTCTGAGTTTTCATCGACGAAAACTAGACAAAAACTTGCCCCAATGAATGTGACTAAAACTAATATTCATTTTTCGGCTAAAGACTAAGACTAAGACTAAATCAAAAATAGCTGCCAAAATAAACACTGTATTGATTTCAATTTTCATTTCAGAAACGTTTTTACAACAACCAGCTTTCCTTTGTTTCAGTTCTGAGAATATGACAGATCTGATAGATTTAAAGCTATGATGGTAGAACTAGGATGGAAACACTCTTGCGATGGTCTGGTAATAGAACCTGATCCTTCACACAGCTCTGGAACATTATCAATCAACAAGATACCCAATTAAGACCCAATCAATGCTTGAACACAATCCCGCAGTGAAAATTACTCTCATCATGCTCTTGTTACATTTTACCTAACCAAAAAAATAATTTTTACAACAGTAAATGAACAAACACACACGTCATATATTGTCCCAAAATGAAAGTGTATTTTATAAGTTATATTTGGTTACTAATGACAATAATTGACATGCAAAACTACATTCTTCCATATTGCTGGCCATAAGCTACAAAAAAGGCACATCTCCGACCTGTGTACTAAATGTTAGAATTGATTGTAAATGTAAATTGTAAAGGTCTAAATGTATACATCGTTTCTAATAATACACCAATTTATACATCAAAATCTACTACACATTTAAAATACAATCTACTCCTTTACGCTGGTGTACACACATTCAACATCAATGTTTATCTTCTGCCTCCTTGATCCGTTGGGAAGATTGAAATTTAAAGCAGCATATTGAGCGCTTTGTGCGTTTTGGTAACCCTGGTGACAAAATATGAAGAAGTGGATGAATATTAAAAAATAAATAAAATAGTATACACAATACAAATAAAAGTTATTAGGTGAAGTTCACCTTTGTGTTTCCTGTGGAGGGAGCTGATACGGTTGCGTGAGACTCTGATCGTAAAACACAGAAATTCTCTTCATTAAAATTGTATAGAATACAAGCTGTCGGATAAAAACAGAACAATTTACCTGAACATTGACAGATGTTTTTCTTGTTTAGCCTGTAAACCAGAAAACCCAGTAAGACCACCAGCATGGTGGTGAATACGAATGCTCCACTCAATAAATACACCAGGAGAAGATGGTTTCCCTCCTCTGCAGAGTAAGAAACCAGAAAATAAGATTTCAGCATTTATCTTTGTGTTCATGTCAAGTTTGATTGAAAATAACAACTATTCATCTGATGAGCTGGATTATCACTTGCCTTCAAAGTCCAGCTTGGTCCCGTCTCCAAACAGAATGTGTCCACACGAGGCAACAGCACAGTAGTAGGTTCCAGCATGGGACGGATTCAGGCTCTCCAACGGCAGGTTGTAGTCACAGGTGTGTGTTTGTGTGTTGGGTTTCCTCTCACACTGATCAGTGCTGCCTCCATCAGTGTAAATGAGTGCTGGATGAGATTCTTCAGAGTCTTTGAACCAGTAAACACTGTGTTGTCCATCACAGGTCCCAGTTTGTACTGTACAGTTCAGTGTCACAGAGCCTCCTGGCTGAATGGTCTCTGATGGTGACTGATGGAGCAAAGTTGGGATGTTTGAACTAGAACCCTGTACACTGACCACAGTGCCCTCTGCAAAAGTCAATGCATATGAAGTGCTAGATGCACAGTAGTAAGTTGCGGAGTCGGAAATTTTCGAATCAAAAATTGTCAGGTGGTTTTGACCTTTATCTTTATCCAGTGTGAAGCGTGGATTATTGTTGAATTCATGATGAAAAGTGCCATTTTTGTTAAACTGATAGAAGGTGGAGACCAGCTTTGGTTGTTTTCCCAGCGTTTGCTTAAGCCAGTAAAGCCATGCTCCACCAGTAATCTCATAGAAACATTGCAAAATTATTTTTTCTCCAGCATCGACCGACGCAAAACCTTTTTCTTGACGCACAGATGACGACAACTTTACATCAGTTGCATGAGCTGAGGTAAAGAAAAACAGACAAAGCAGATACGCAATTATTTATCATATATATATATTTACACATTTTAGTTACATGTGTATGAATGATACACATGTAACTACATGTAGATACATTTATATTAAGATAAGCATTTCCATGAAAGGTTTGAAACAAAAACACAACTCACCCATTTTCCACAAGAACAACCATGTCACATAGATGGCAAACCTTGGAGATGTCATCGTGTTCAAATTCTTGTGTTGAATGAAAAGAATCTCAATACTTTTTCCACTCTTCAGAGACAGACTGTGTTTGATTGGCCAACCCAATGTGACTCTGTGCTGAACGTCCTACTGAGGAAGCACTCTCTCTTTATGGAGTAAAGTTTTTTTTACTCTTGCTCTTTACTCTTTTGCTCTTTAGAGTAAATATTTTCATATTGAGAAAAGTGTCTGTAGAAGGCACTGTATCTTTGTATTCTACATAGAATTTGGAAAACACTACATCCTAGGGTTATACAGTATGATTGAAAGGACTTTTCAATCATACTGAAAGGAATTGTGTGTTCATTCAATTCAGTAAATATCACGTTTGGATTAATATTACCATTAAGGTTTGAGGAGTTCCGTTGTGATGTTAATAAATATCACCATGTTGGGAATCTGTTGCGGACATGCTTAAAAAAAAGCACTGACTGTCAGTCAGAAATAAAGATCTCAGGTATGAACAATATATTTCAGAAATAAAAAGTTCCAGTGGAGTCTAGTTTTGCCCAACATTGTCATCAGTAGCAGATACAGGCCATTTGGTCATATGATTTATCTTTTTTTTAAATCTTTTTATTGAGTATATGTTAAATGAAGAATGTCTATGAGCCAAGTTTTGCCCTTCATTGCCGACTGAGTCAATTCTCAATATTATGGCTTCGGTTAGAATATTTAAAATTCCCAGAGTTTGAGCACAGATCGTTTTCTTAACGCAAAGGAACAGTGGCAACTGTCCAATAGAGGGCAATATAGAGGGTAAGGGCAAAAAGGGAAAAAAATAGAAAGGATATTATTAATTCATAAGAATTTTCAATATTCAGTTTCTGTGCAAACGATATGCTTTTCCTCCACGTTCTTGCCAGTCATATGCACACCCTGTCTTCATGCATGATTTAGCTGCGCTAGGGGCAATTTCAAGATGGCCCACAGAAGGCACGCCTAAGAAGCATTTTAGCCAATTTTTGGTTATATAAAAGAATGTATGACATACAATTTAGCCAGTTAGTTGCTTAAATAGACTCAATCTGGGGCAACATTGGTTTTGCCCCAAGTTTGCGCGTTGCAAGCAAAGTGTACTACTTTCTTTTCAAGGAATAAACATGAAATATTTAACTGCAAAGTAGTAGTGTGTTTTTGATTGTTGTTTTGCATTAAATCAACTTGAGATGTTTGCTGAGCTTAATTCGATTGCACTACCTAGAACATTCTCCACCAGCTGAGCAGAAGAGACTCCTCTCTCCTTTCACATGATTTATTCATGCATAAAGAGCCGCGTGCGTAAACACAGCTCCGGTCATTTAATGATAAGAGCTGAAGTCTTTGAAACCAGGAACCAGGGCAGAAGTGGCCATAAAAGGCTTCTGAATTTAATCCGGAATGGATTGTAATGACCATGCGGAGGTCCCTCCAAGGCACGAAGGTCCTTCAGTGCCAGTATTCTTCAGTAACATAATACATTTTGTGCAAATGCCTCCCGGGAAGACAGCTGGCACTGCTTCCATTTGTAGCTATGGCTAACTTTGATCCACTTGCAAGGAAATGAGGAGAAAAAAACAACTTTTATTCTTGATTCCTGATTGCTTTGAGAAAATGTTCCATTACAATTATTTATTCTATTAACTGTATATGGTGTTAGGAGTAGCAGTCCAGATAGTAATTCAACCAAATATCTTATTTTACTATCAATTACAATCCTGATTAGTTTTATTAGCTTTTTTATTAAGTATTATTGGCATTTGATTTTCATAAGCACTCAGGAATCAGGAAATCAGGAATCAGGAAACATTTATTAGCCAAAATATGTCAAACATACAAGGAATTTGTCTTGGCGGTTAGTGCGCGACAGTAGACAGACAAGACAACAGTGCACAAGTAATAAAATAAAGTGGAATGAAATGCTAATGCAATGGGTTAGTAGAATAAGGCTAAGGCTATGGGTTAGTATAAAACAAGGGAATAAAGTTAAAAAAAATTTAAATATTAAAAAGTTAAATTGCAGTTAAAGTGGCATGTGCAGTATGAGGGGGAGTGACCGGTGGAGTGTTATAGTCAGTCAGTGGGGGACCGGGCTCTGTTGATGAGCCCGACTGCAGACGGGAAGAAACTGTTCGTGTGTCGGGAGGTCTTAGTCCTGATGGACCTCAGCCTCCTGCCAGATGGAAGGGGCACAAACAGTTTTTGTCCGGGGTGGGAGGGGTCGGCCGCGATCTTTTTAGCTCGCTTCAGAGACCTGGAAGCGAACAAGTCCTGCAGGGACGGCAGATTGCAGCCAATCACCCTCTCCGCAGAGCGGATGACACGCTGCAGCCTGCCCTTGTCCTTGGCTGTGGCTGCAGCGTACCAGACGGTGATGGAGGAGCAGAGGATGGACTCGATGATGGCCGTGTAGAAGTGGACCATCATCGTCTTTGGCAGGTTGAGTTTCTTCAGCTGCCTCAGGAAGAACAACCTCTGCTGAGCCTTCTTGGTGATGGAGCTGATGTTCAGCTCCCACTTGAGGTCCTGGGTGATGATGGAGCCCAGGAAACGGAAGGAATCCACAATAGTGACGGGGGAGTCACACAGCGTGATGGGGGAGGGTGGGGCTCTGTTCCGCCGGAAATCCACAACCATCTCCACTGTCTTTAGAGCGTTAAGCTCCAGGTTGTTCTGGCTGCACCACGACACCAGATGGTCAGACTCCCACCTGTAGGCGGACTCGTCCCCACCAGAGATTAGTCCAATGAGGGTGGTGTCATCCGCAAACTTCAGGAGCTTGACGGACTGATGACTGGAGGTGCAGCTTTTGGTGTACAGGGAGAAGAGCAGAGGGGAAAGAACGCAGCCTTGGGGGGAACCGGTGCTGATGGTCCGAGAGGCTGAGACATGTTTCCCCAGCTTCACGTGCTGCTTCCTGTCTGACAGGAAGTCTGTGATCCACTTGCAGGTGGAGTCGGGCACGTGCAGCTGGGAGAGTTTGTCCTGCAGCAGAGACGGGATGATAGTGTTGAAAGCAGAGCTGAAGTCCACAAACAGGATCCTGGCGTAGGTTCCTGGGGAGTCCAGATGCTGGAGGATGTAGTGGTACATGTTTAACTGGTCTTTGGCTTAAGGAGCGTCTATCTGGCTGTGAAAAGCTCGTTGACATCCTGATCAAAACTACAGCTGCTGCACAGGTACAAAGATAATGCACCGAGGTCAAGGTCAAACATTCTCATTTGCTTATTTCCTTATTTATTTACCACCTTCTTAGGAGGAACAGCAGTGTTAGAAACCCTTTGCCATCCTTATCTTTTGTCGTAGTTCTTAAAAGCAAACCTTCAGTGCAAAGCATTCTAACTCCATCTTTCTCTTTGTACAGGTTTTCCAATAATACATTCACAAACGAGTGAAGTTGAAACCTTGTTCATCCTCTACCAACCAGAGGTGTAGTAGTGCGAATACGCATATAATGACCTTTGGGTAGAGGGCTGCTCTTTAGAACCACACAGGTGTTTTCTAATCAAACACCTTCACAATAATCGCTGTGCGACATTGTTTTTTTAAATTAAATTCTTTGTTACGGTTAAGGAAATATGTGTGGATTAAAATGACCAAAAAGGTTAGAGGAGCTCCGTTGTGATGGTAACATTTTATAAACATGTTTTAAGTTTAGGAAATAGTTGCGGACGGGCCTTAAAAAAAGCTTTGTCATAAAGAAACAAGAAGAAATATCTCATGTCCAATTCTAACATTGTGTAAACCCATCCATCTGCCCCATAATTCCCCCGTTTGTCATCCATTACAACTTTCTCCTACTCTGGTTGTACATCGCTACAGAGCTTTCTCACTTGACTTGTTATTATGAATTTTGAGCACAAAAGTCTGATGGTGTCTTGTGCAAAACTAATTGTTATTCATGTGACTTATGGGAGTTGCTCTTCAAATGACTTGTTAGTCTTAAGTTAATTTAAAGCCAACTTCCTCTGAAGACAGAATCTGTATTATCAAAAAACACTATGTGGCAACAGATACGCCGTTCCTGCCAAATGGCAAACTAATGCAAGAGTGGTACCCAGAGTGTCAATTACCAAGTTGATCACAGGCTGTTTGCATAATGTGAAGCTCGTTTATTCTCTACGTGAATACAGGTTTTGTTTTTGGTTCTTTTACACACTTTAGTTTCTCTTTCACTCATCATCCTATTCTGCTTTTACTGCAGTTCTTTTCCTTTTATACGTTTTCTCTGACTGTCACCACCCACTTCTTACCTGCCATGGAGGAGCTATCGCTCTGCTAAGGACTTGATGCCTCTCTGGCTTCCGACCCGGGTTCACGTCCATGTGTGTTTATTGGCACACAACTAACTTTGAGTTAGATCTCCTAAAAGTATTGGTATTAAATTATTGGATTAAAGGATGGCTCATGAAATACACAAAGGTCAATTCTTAAAGTATTTTAGAAAAACATCAAGTTACGAACTAGTTCGAAGATAGTAAAAACAAACAAAATTACAATGTGAATACATCCTGCTTACAACCACACAGTTCATAAATAAACCTTTGACCGGCCTTCTCAAAGCATACATATATCATCTGTTGACTGTTCAATGTATAAGATTGTTACATCAATGAACGAGTACAGACTATAGGCGATTTGTCAGGGTGGGTGGAAGGCAGGACTCAAATGCAGAGTTCGAGCAACAAAAGAGACTTTAGTCAAAAAGCAAAAGGCAGGAACAAGAAACATCCAGGACGATAGACAATCACACGGTTTAAATACACTAGGGAGGTGCAGGTGATTGGACACAGGTGGAAACGATCAGACAATCGCAGGGGATGACAGGACAAGGCAGGAAGTGAAGTTACCCGGGAACGCGAGTGGCAGAAAACTACAAAATAAGACAGGACGTGAACCACACCGTGACTGTACCCCCCTCAAGGGCCGAATCCCAGACAGCCCTAAACTAGCAAAGAGCAGGCAAGGGGCAGAAGGGAGGGAAACCAGATACGTTGGTCGGACCGCCCGGGAAACTCTGGCGGGCGGCCAAACGACCGGGGAGCCTCTGGGGGTCGGCCCGGCGGACGGTCATTTGGCCGGCTCCGGAGAGCCGACTGCAGGGCACGGAACACCTCCGGAGTCGTCGAGGGCTGGGGGACACGGAACACCTTGGGAGTCGTCGAGGGCTGGGGGACACGGAACACCTCGGGAGTCGTCGAGGGCTGGGGGACACGGAACACCTCCGGCGTCGCCGGCTCTCAACCCCCCCCCCAATAACCGCCCCCTCAAGGGCCGGATCCCAGACGGCCCTCAAATCACCGACGGGAGGGTGGGAGAGGACCACGGGATGGGAGGGAGATCGCTGCGACGGCCCAGCGGGAACGGGGGATCGCTTCTTCCTCCTGCCAGGACTCCTCCTGGGGTTTAAGAGGTCCCGGAGCTCGAGACAAGCCCTTCGATAGCTCCGGGGAACGAAAATAAAGTCTGTTTACGCTGCCAGAAGGGACTTCTTACATCCAGGTAGTCCGGTCCGAAATCCGCAGCGGGTCTGCTGAGTCCTTTCGTGGTCGCGTCGTTCTGTCAGGGATGTGTAGGAAGGCAGGACTCGAATGCAGAGTTCGAGCAACAAAAGAGACTTTAATAGTCAAAAATTAAAAAAGCAAAAGACCAACGGGCAAAAAGGCAGGCAGGAACAGGGAACATCCAGGACGATAGACAATGACGCAGCAAGTGACACAAGAGACACACTGCTTAAATACACTAGGGAGGTGCAGGTGATTGGACACAGGTGGAATCGATAAGACAATCACAGGGGATGACAGGACCAGTCGGCTTCCTGTGAGGAGCCTTTCACAGCTCCAGGTGTGGTTTAGGTGTGTGCAGGCGACCGTTTATGAAACGTCATGTTTTATCAGTTTTCAGTTTGAATTAAGAAAAAGCTTTGAATTGACTAAAGGTCTCTGGAGGTCTTAAAAAAGGGATGTAATACACGTCCTTGTTTACCGTGCAGCAAATGGCATACAAGATTTCCTTAGAAAAATGGATATTGCAATTTTCAGTTCAGAAATGTTTTCTCAACAAGCCTCTTTACTCTGTTTCCGTGATGAACACTGACAATATGAAACGTCTGAAAGATGTAATACTATGATGCTGAAAGTAAGATGGACATACTCCTATGATGGTCTGGTAGTAGAACCTGATGCTTCTCACAGCTCTGCAACTTTAACAATCAACAAGACACCCAATTAAGACCTTATAAATGCTTGAATACAACAATTTATACACCAACATTTTTTTCACATTTAAAATACGATCTAATGCTTTACGCTGGAGTACACACATTCAACATCAATCTTCTGCCTCCTTGATCCGTTGGGCAGATTGAGATTTAAAGCAGCATAATGAGGGCTCTGTGCGTTTCGGTAACCCTGCTGTCAAAATAAGAAGAAGTGTATTAGGATTAAAATAAAAAAAAAAATATATATATATATATATATATATATATCCACAATGAAAATCAAAGTTATTGATGAAGTTCACCTCTGTGTTTCCTGTGGAGGGAGCTGATACGGTTGCTTGAGACTCTGATCGTAAAACACAGGAGTTCTCTTCATTAAAAATGTATATTTATAGAATACAAGCTGTCAGATGAAAACAGAACAACTTACCTGAGCATTGACAGATGTTTTTCTTGTTTAGCCTGTAAACCAGAAAACCCAGTAAAACCACCAGCATGGTGGTGAATACCAATGCTCCACTCAGTAAATACACCAGGAGAAGATGGTCGCCCTCTTCTGCAGAGTAAGAAACCAGAAAAGAAGCTTCAGCTTTGTGTTCATGTCAAGTTTGATTGAAAAACAACAACTATTCATCAGAAGAGCTGGATTATCACTTACCCTCAATTTTTAGTTTGGTCCCGTTTCCAAACAGAATGTGTCCACACGAGGCAACAGCACAGTAGTAGGTTCCAGCATGAGACGGATTCAGGCTCTCCATCGGCAGGTTGTAGTCACAGGTGTGTGTTTGTGTGTTGGGTTTCCTCTCACACTGATCAGTGCTGCCTCCATCAGTGTAAATGAGTGCAGGATGAGATTTTTCAGAGTCTTTGAACCAGTAAACACTGTGTTGTCCATCACAGGTCCCAGTTTGTACTGTGCAGTTCAGAGTCACAGAGCCTCCTGGCTGGATGGTCTCTGATGGGGACTGATGGAGCAAAGCTGGGACGGTCCAACCTGAACCCTGGACACTGACCACAGTGCCCTCTGCAAAAGTCAACACATTTGAAGTGCTAAATGCACAGTAGTAAGTTGCTGTGTCTGACATTTTTAAATCCAAAATTGTCAAGTGATTTTGACCTTTTTCCGTATCCAGTGTGAAGCGTGGATTGTTCTTGAATTCATGATGAAAAGTGCCATTTTTGTTAAACTCATAGAAGGTGGAGATCAGCTTGGGTTTTTGTCCCAATGTTTGCTTATACCAGTTAAGCCATGATCCATCATTTTTCTGATAGAAACATTGCAGAGTAATTTTGTGTCCAACATCGACTGACATAAAACCTCTTTCTTGACGTTCAGGTGACGACAATTTTAGATCAGCTGCATGAGCTGAAGAAAGGAGAGATACAAAGCAAATACGCAATGATTTATCATATATATATGTACACATCTTAAATATAATTATGAATGTACAGTATATAAAGATTAGCATTTCCATTCAAAGTTAGAAGCAAAAACACAACTTACCCATTTTCCACAAGAACAACCATGTCACATAGATGGCAAACCTTGGAGATGTCATCGTGTTCAAATTCTTGTATTGAATGAAGAGAATCTCAATACTTTTTCCACTCTTCAGAGACAGACTGTGTTTGATTGGCCAACTCGATGTGACTCTGTGCTGTACGTCCTACTGAGGAAACACGCTCCCTGTATAGAGTAAAGCTCTTTACTCTTTTACTCTTTAGAGTAAAATATTTCCATGGGGGGAAACGTCTCTGTACAAAGCTTTGTATCTTTGTATCGTACATAGAACTTGAGAAAAATGGATCCCAAGTTTATACAGTATCAATGACAGGGCAACAACATTGTAATGTTACACTAAATTCTGTGTTACGAAGTAAATATCACGTTCAGATTAAAATGACCTAATTAATCAAGGTTAGAGGTGCTCAGTTCTGACGGTAAGAATTATCACCATGTGTTAAGGTTGGGAATCTGTTGCGGACATGCCTAAAAGAAGCACTGACTGTCAGTCCGAAAAATTGATTCCAGGTATAAACAATTCATTTAAAAAAATAAAAACTTTCAGTTGAGTCTAGTTTTGCCCAACATTGTCATCAGTAGCAGAGCAGATACATTTTTATCATTAACACCCCCAAAAGTGATAAAATTAACTATGTATATGAGCTGGTTTGTGCTTTGCCCTTTATTGCTAACTGAGTCAACTCTCAATATTATGGCTTCCTGGATTTGACTGAACTGAAGCTTAAAATGTTTAATATTCCCAGCATTCGAGCACAGATCGTGTTAACGCAAAGGTGACAACAGTGGCAACTGTCCAATAGAGGGCAATATAGAGGGTAAGGGCAAAAGGGACAAAAAAGAAAAGACATAAAATTATAAAAATTGATAATATTCAATTGCGTTGACTGTCAAAAATAAACAATAAGAAATTTCTCATTTCCAATTCTAACGTTGTGTAAACCCATCCATCTGTCCCGTAGTTCCCCCGTTTGTCATCTATTACAACTTTCTCCTATTCGGTTTGTATATCGCTACAGAGCTTTCTCACTTGACTTATTTTTCATTTTGGGGCTCAAAAGCCTGATGGTGTCTTGTGCAAAAGTAAAAGTTGACATTTTGTTCCAGGCCGTTATTCATGTGACTCACAGGACTTGCTCTTCAAATGACTTGTTAGCCTAAATTTAAAGGACTCATCGTATGTCCATTTTACCATTTTTTAAGTTGATGTAGTTCCTTGGGGTCTTAATGAAATGTCTAACATACTTTATTCAAAATACAACAAGGGTCATTTGAAACAGCAGCCTTTTTACCCTGTCTGAAACAGCCCTCCACAGAGTGACCTGTTGAGTGCCTGTTCCTTTAAATGCTTATGAGCTAGCCCCCCCTGCGTGGATCTGTGCAGCAGACCACAGCGCATCTTGATCATTTGCTTCATGCTGCTGGTTAACTATTCCAAGTGTATCTGGGGTTTGCAAAAACGAAGCCAAGTGCTTTCGCAAATATCGTATTGTGTGTGTGTGTGTGTGTGTGTGTGTGTGTGTGTGTTAGTACTGTGTGTCACATCACCCCCCTCACTCGGTCCAATCATGGGGAGTCACTGTACATGCTAGTGAAGGGGCGGCCAGTGATTTGGGGAGATCAGGGCAGGCAGGTGTTCCCATGTTGTAAGATAGTCTAGTTAGGTAGAAGAGTTCTGGTTAATAACAAGAATAAAAGTATTCCTCTGCGTACGCCGTTTAGCCTCCGTGTTGTGAGTAAGCCACTACACCCAAGACGCTACAGTATCTATAGTGAGTGGGAGTGGCAAGGCCATGTAGAGACTCCCAGTTCACAGTGACAACAGAATAAGGAATCTCATTCTCAAGTCACTCAAGGATGACTGTTACGGCCTGGTGCTGCTCCATCCAAAACTCCATTCTTCCAAATTGCTGGGCATAAACGTACCATCTGTTTACAAAAACGGCACATTTCCTGACTTTGTATTACAGTTTTTTTCAATCGCTAACAAGCGTTTGTCCAAACAGTTGGACAACACATTTTCAAAACTCTAAACACAATTCGCACAGCATCGGTGTTTTGTGGCCATACCATTCACACATTTCATGTCGTTTTCACACAATATGCAGTCAGTGAACACATATCCACAATGCTTACATTTTTCTTAACAGACAAGCCATACCTCCCAACAAAACGATGGATTGTTTTAGTAGTATTCAAAAATGTTAACACACACCATCCCACAACTGCAAAAACAATATTCCAAACCGTAGATACAGTATAAAAACCTCTGCTTCTGCAATGATATCAGTTCAAAAACAATATATCTCAGCTGATAATGAACACTATTGAATAATTGACAGCTGATTTATGTTGGGTAAATTGGGCCAACAAGAGCTGATTCCAGTCTGGCTTATTAAGGAGGACTTTGAGGAGTGATGTTTTTGGAAACAGAAACAGACAAACACTGTAATGTCCGGACAAGGAAGAGGAAGAGCAAGGGGCCCAGGGAGAAGACCAGGTCCTGTGAGAGGTGCAGGTGAAGAAGGAGGTGCAGGTGCAGGAAGAGGAGCAGTGAGAGGTGCAGTAAGAGGTGCAGGTCCAGTGAGAGATATTGAAGGAGGTGCAGTGAGAGGTGCAGGTGCAGGAAGAGGAGCAGTGAGAGGTGCAGTGAGAGGAAAGAGTAAGAGGTGCAGGTCCAGTGAGAGATGTAGAAGGAGGTGCAGTGAGAGGTGCAGGAAGAGGAGCCGGCCCAAGGAGAGAGCAAGGTAGAGGTGTAAGAATGCGTGGTGGTGGCATTCCAAGGGCTGTAAGAACAGTAGTCAGTGATGAAATTCGTGCCACTATCATTGACCATGTAATCAACCCCGGTCTTTCACTAAGAGAGGCTGGTGAAAGAGTCCAACCCAATTTGAGTCGGTAAACGGTTGCCTCCATTATTCGTATCTTTCAACAAACCAACAGGTAAGTATTGCATTTTACATGGTTTGTTTCTATACTCACTTGACATGACCTATTCACCTTTCCTCAACCCCATAGAGGAGTTCTTTTCTGCATGGAGGTGGAAGGTTTATGACCATCAGCCACATGACCAGATGTCCCTCCTTGAAGCCATGGATGCTGGCTGCAGGGGCATCACAGTTCAAGATTGCCAAGGGTGGATCCGACATGCCAAGCGGTTTTATCCCAGGTGCATCGCCTTAGATGATGTCAGATGTGATGTTGACGAAAACTTGTGGCCGAACCCTGAAGATCGCAGGGATTAGATGCATACATTTTTTGCTATTTTTAGTTCCCCCCTTTCCATCTGGGCTTTTGGCTGTTGTTGTTTTTTTCTCAGAATGCTCATGTGTTTCATGGATATTTTGTTAAAATAAAATAAACCTTTTCTGTTCTATTATACTGTTTCTACTGTACCTTCTTTGGTAAACAGTTAAGAAAAAATAACCGATTTGCTTTTTACTGGAATGCGTTTGAATGTGAACATTACTGTACATGTGCACATACAGTTCCAAACCAATAAATTTAGTGTAAATGGTGAATTGCATGTAACCTGAAACATAAAAGTCTATGCAATTTTTATAATGTCAACAATAGCCAGAATTTTGAAACCTGGTGTACTTCGTTTGACTGCATGTACCTTGTGAAGTGAAAACAAATGTTTTTCTTTGACAGAATAATTTCATTTTGAGTCAGATTTCCAGTGTTTTGGTAAAGTTAGTGTGTGCAGAGAAAGATGTGTTCTGTTTTGAAATTTAGAGTTAGTATATATTTAACAAAATGTGTCCGCAATGAAAAGCAGCAGTGGCGATGCACGGGGCAACCAAGTCTATAAAAAATAAATTAACAAACCATCGACTTCCACACACAAATACGTGACTCGTCTTCAACAGAAACACGTTACTCCACCTGTTGTTCTGGCGGTGATTTGCTATGCAACACACGCAGTACTTTTAGAACCATGAATTGAAACAAGTGTGTCGACGCAACAACGCAGAAGCATGCGCCGGCCTTTAGAATAACTTATTTTCCCCGTTAAGATGGTTCAGCCACTGTAAAGAAAAGAGCACCGTCTCTCGCTCTTTAATCTCATGAAGTGCTCGGCAAAAACGACAGCTTCGTTTCTCTGACGCGCCCTGAAACAAGCTCCATATCTCACGCGCTTCAGCGCCCGCTCAGCATCTCGCCGCCGTAGACCGAGCTTTGGCATGTTTAGCAGAGCGCCTTGAGCGCCGTGTGCAACCACTATGGATCAACCGATTAACCAATTGATCCATATATAAGGCGCTCCGGATTATAAGGCGCAGGGTTGTTTTTTGAGAAAATTAAAGGCTTTTAAGTGCGCCTTATAGTGCGGAAAATAAGGTACATTATTGGGTTAAAAGATGGCTCATGAATTACACAAATGTACATTTTTAAAGCAGCATTTTAATGTGAACAACGTTTTTTAAAAGAACATCAAGATCAACAAAAAAAACATTTTACAACTCATCCTCTCAATAATTAATAAACAAAGATGATTTCTACAGGAGCTTAACCCACCTGCACATAATACATTGACCCAAAATGAAATTGTCATGTATGAGCTATATTTAATCACTAATGACAATAATTTACATCCAAAACTACATTCTTTCAAATTGCTGGGCATAAACGTACCATCTAATTACAAAAACGGCACATTTCCTGACTTTGTATTAAAAGTTGGCATCGGTTGTAAATCTTGAGGTCTAAATGTATACATCATTTCTAATAACACAGCGATTCATACACCAAAATCTACTTCACATTTAAAATACAATCTACTGCTTTACGCTGGAGTACACACATTCAACATCGATGTTCATCTTCTGCCTCCTTGATCCGTTGGGCAGATTGAGATTTAAAGCAGCATAATGAGGGCTTTGTGCTTTTTGGTAACCCTGGTGACAAAGTATGAAGAAGTGGATTAAGATATAAAAATATAAAATAATATCCACAATGAAAATAAAAAGTTATTAGATAAAGTTCACCTCTGTGTTTCCTGAGGAGGGAGGTGATACAGCTGCGCGAGACTCTGATCGTAAAACACAGAAATTCTCTTTATTAAAAATGTATATTTACAGACTATAAGCTGTCGGATAAAAACAGAACAGCTTACCCAAACATTGACAGCTCTTTTTTTTTTGCAGCTTGTAGACCAAAGAAAACAGTAAAACCACCAGGATGGTGGTGAATACCAAAGCTCCACTCAATAAACACACCAGGTTAAGATGGTCGTCCACGTCTGCAGTCAGAGACCAAAAAATGAGCTTTCATCTTTTATCTTTGTTTTCATGTTAATTTTGATTTAGAAAAACCCAACAACCATTAATCTGATGAGCTGGATTATCACTTACCCTCAATATCCAGTTTAGTGCTGTTTCCAAACAGAATGTGTCCACACGAGGCAACAGCACAGTAGTAGGTTGCAGCATGAGACAGATTCAGGCTCTCCATCGGCAGGTTGTAGTCACAGGTGTGTGTTTGTGTGTTGGGTTTCCTCTCACACTGATCAGTGCTGCCTCCATCAGTGTAAATGAGTGCTGGATGAGATTCTTCAGAGTCTTTGAACCAGTAAACACTGTGTTGTCCATCACAGGTCCCAGTTTGTACTGTACAGTTCAGAGTCACAGAGCCTCCTGGCTTGATGGTCTCTGATGGTGACTGATGGAGCAAAGCTGGGACGGTCCAACCTGAACCCTGCACACTGACCACAGTGCCCTCGGGAAAAGTCAACGCATACGAAGTGCTCTGTGCACAGTAGTAAGTTGCTGAGTCTGACATTTTTAAATCCAAAATTGTCAAGTGATTTTGACCTTTTTCCGTATCCAGTGTGAAGCGTGGATTGTTCTTGAATTCATGATGAAAAGTGCCATTTTTGTTAAACTGATAGAAGGTGGACATCATCTTTGGTTGTTGTCCCAGCATTTGTTTATACCAGTGAAGCCATATTCTACCTGTATTCTGATGGAAACATTGCAACGTAATGTTTTCTCCAACATTGACAGACGCAAAACGTCTCTCTTGACGCACAGTCATATCAGTTGCATGAGCTAAAGTGAAAAGAGAGACAAAGCAAATACACATTTAATATACAAATATTATATACAGTTTATATATACCTAGACACATATCTAGGTAAATATCTTATTTGCATGAGTATGTATATTCAGTGTATAAAGACAAGCATTTCCATGAAACGTTAGAAACAAAAACACAACTTACCAATTTTCCACAAGAACAACCATGTCACATAGACTGCAAACCTTGGAGATGTCATTGTGTTCAAATTCTTGTGTTGAATGAAAAGGATCTCAATACTTTCCCCACTCTTCAGAGACAGACGGTGTTTGATTGGCCAACCCGATGTGACTCGATGTGACTGTGCTGAATGTCCTACTTAGGAAACACGCTCACTTTGTGTTAATTTAGGTTCAAAAGATTTCCACGGTGAGATAAGTGTCTGTAGAAGCATTGGCTCTGTAGCTTTGTGTTGAACATAGAGATTGGGAGAAATAGACCCCATGTATTATTATTGGAGGGCGACAACATTGGTGTTTGTTACAGTTAATTGAATCATGTTTGGATAAAGGTTAGAGGAGTGGCGTTGTGATTTCCAATTTGAACGATGTGTAGACCCATCCATCCAGCCTGGGGTCCCACCTTTTTCATCTATACAACAACAACATTTTCACCTTACTCTGGTTGTATTTTGCTACAGAGCTGTCTCCCTTGTTATTTTGGGGCTCAGAATCCTGATGGTGTCTTGTGCAAAACTACCGTAATTACCGGATTATAAGCCGCTACTTTTTTCCCACGCGTTGAACCCTGCGGTTCATACAACGGTGCGGCTAATGCACTGTATAATTCTTCACGGGTTAACTCTCGAGAGCGAGACAGACAGGTGCAAGTTACGGGCAACCGATTTGGCTGTCGGAGAAGGAAACAGAGCGGCTGCAGATAAACCATTAATGAATTAATTGTGAGACGTTGGAGACACAATGTGAAGAACTTCGGCACGGACGTTTTTCGGCTGCGTGGACCTGTAACGTGCGGTGAGGTTCGTGGCTGGGAGGCACTGACTTCAATGTCAGATTCACAAATATATGAATTCAACAAAGTAGCAAAATTTCACCATTCAACTGGCTGCTTGCACTTCGACTACTGGTTATGTTTTATATCCCTTATCGTATATTCTTTTATAATACGGGGCAGATGAAATCAAGCGTTCTGATTGGTTGAGTGAGTCACCGTGTGTACTGCAATGTAATGTTACCTGTTTACATTGACCTGCGCGTTCATATCAGTGCGCTTGTTAGTGCCATTTTCCATGTCGTAATTTAGATTTAGATTGATATTATTTTGATTCATGTTTATTGATGATTTATTATATCATAAGTATAATTACACTGTGATTACATAATTGTACTCAAAATTTGCATGTTAGTTAATACACGTTTAGTGTACATGCTTGGTGTAATACATAGGAGTGACGCGAGTGAGCGCACTGACTTATGACGTAAGGCACCTGTGCTTTGACGAAGCGAGAAAACGCTGTGTAATTTTCCTCTGCCAGATCATTCAGTAAAGCGAACGGAGCGAACACACTGTTTTCTACCGTTGTTCAACACATTAAACACGCGTAGACTCGTTCTTTCCGTTTTGGAGTGGTTAAAGAAATTAAGAACTGAAGAAGCAACTGCCGAACGTAAGAAGGGAACTTTAGCCACTACATTAAGTAGAAAACAGTCGCCGAAAGCGAGACAAGATCATCCGAAGCCGAGGGAAGACGCGCGGCGTGGGACACGAGTTGACGAGAGATAGCTTGCTGCAGCGACAACGCCGTGCACCCGACCGGATTTCCAGACGTCTTCAACGATGACGGTTGAGTAAACAAGGAACAACATTGAATGAATGGATAAGCTATAGCTGCAGACCTTGCTAGTTATGGCGAAATAAAGATAGCTCTGCCGTCATAGTCGACGTAGTCAACGTGGCCGAGCTATTGCTACTAGCCAGTAGCCACACAGGACATTATGCTAATAGTGCTATTGCTACCAGTCATATTAGCCCATAAGAAGCTCTCTGTAAATTCTGGAAATAAATACGGCTCTGAAATCTCATATTTGGAAAGCATCGACGTGCTTTGAGGATAAAGGACTGTTAATCTGGATTTCAGAAGTTTGCAAGAGCTTGCTATAAGAGACTATTCTAGCGTTAATAGCCAGCTGAAATGTCTGAAGAAGAAACTGAGATGGAGGGAAATGTCGAGCTAAACACGAAAAGAAGGATCAAGTTGACCACAAAGGCCTTAGAAGAGAAACTTGATAAACAGATGAATCATAGGAAACGTGTGTTAGCACGCCTTGTCTCCAAAGCAGAGGAAATAGAAAACCTCATGAAAATTGAGTCCAACGCACTTCTGGTGGAAAAGGATCATCTTGGCGATTACTCAAAATTCCTGAATGAGTTTATTGAAGTAAACAATGTGGTTAGTAAACTCTTATCAGATGATGAACGAAAGGCTGACCAGCAGTATTGGAGCGAGCCAAACCGATCAAAGCATGAGAACTTTTTGATTAAATTGGAGCAGTGGATAATTAACGCAAAACGGCACGCCAATGCCACTAACGAACAAGCTGAAAAAATGACACGACGACACAGCATGGTGAGTCTGTCGTCGAAGATGTGGATCCAGATGACAGTGCTTCTGCTGTACAAGAAAAATATAGTTCAGTCACAGCACGTAGTGTATGCAGTAGACACTCAAGGTCATCCAAAGCGTCCTCTCATGCTTCGTCTCTGCGTAGAATAGAGGAAGCTAATCGTGCAGCCCTACTCGCACGCGCAGCCGCGTTTACGAAGAAACGGGCACTGCAGTTGGAAGAAGCACAGATGAAAGCCAAGAAGATTCAGTTAGAGGCTCGAATGGAGGAGCTAGACATTGAAACTGCTATTGCAGAGTCCACAGCAAAGCTACAGGTTCTGGAAGCTTACGACAACGAAAACTCGGACGACGCCGGTATGAATTCTTACCTTGGCAAGAACGTGCCTACAGCAGCAATCGTCAAACATCATGCTCCAGATGTCAAACCAAAGTCGACCAGCAGTTTTCGAGTTATTCAAGACAACGATGCATCTTACAGTCCAACTAGACACACGTCGTATGTGCAAGTGAGTAACGAACGCGACAATAACACAAGTGCAAGTTGCAATGGAAGGCAAGTTGAACCAGACAAAGTGATATTGAACCAGAAGGATATCACAGAGATGTTAGTCACACAACAGAGATTAGCCAACCTACCTCAACGAGAAGTCCCTGTATTCAGTGGCGATCCTTTCGAGTTCCTGCCGTTCATGAGGGCATTTGAGCACATCATTCAAAGTCGCACAGACAATGATGAAGACCGCTTATACTATCTTGAGCAATTCACCAGCGGCGAACCACGAGAACTTGTGAGAAGCTGCCAACATATGAGCACACAACAAGGCTATATGGAAGCAAGAAAGCTCTTGAGCCATCACTTTGGCAACGAGCAGAAAATAGCTGCGGCCTACGCGGACAAGGCTATCAACTGGCCTCAGATCAAAGCAGAAGACGCCAAGTCACTTCACAGCTTCTCCATCTTTCTTACTGGATGCAACAATGTCATGAAGAGCATGGAATACCTCGAGGAGATGAACAGCTCAAGCAATCTTCGGATTGTCGTCTCAAAATTGCACTTCAGACTTTGTGAAAGATGGAGAGTCATAGCTTTTGACATACAGGAAAGGGAAGGAAGAAGGGCAAGGTTCTCAGATCTCGCGACATTCATCAACAGACAAGCAAAGATAGCTTCAGACCCACTGTTTGGTGATGTGAAAGAGTCCTTTGAAGTAAACGAAAAGGGCAAATTAAGCACTAGACCCGCCAAGAAGGGCGGACCTAAAAGAACCACTGGCTTTGCTACAAGTGTTAAGCCAGACGAAGTGAATGCCTCAGAACCAAGTAAAAACAAACAGACAAGCAACGCGTTTCAAGAGCCATGCCTGTACTGCAACAAAGGACACACCCTGAGTGCATGTAACAAAATAAGAAGTCTGCCAAACAAGGAGAGAATTGAGTTCCTTAAAAGTCAAGGACTTTGTTTCGGGTGTCTGACCCAAGGGCACATGGGAAAGGACTGCAAAAGGAGAGCCACGTGTGAATTCTGCAGTAAGAAACATCCAAGCCTGCTTCATAGCAAAAGGGACGAGAGCACCGACCAAGAGAACATCAGACCTGGGAGAGGTCAAAGCTATACCAGTGGACACTCAACTTCTCGAGAAGACGAGTCAGCCAAGAGTGAAGTCACGGCAGTCACCGGGGCCGGAGGCAGCGACTGTATCCTGTCTATCGTGCCCGTGCGCATCAAATCCAAGAAGAGCAACACGACAATAGAAACGTACACGTTCATGGACTCAGGAAGTTATGCTACGTTTTGCTCCGAAAGGCTGATGAGACAGCTTGGCGTCCATGGTAAGAAGACTCAAGTGCTACTCCGTACTATGGGCCAGGAGAAGCCTGTGTCCTGCTACGTGCTCTCAGATCTAGAAGTGTGCAGCCTGACAGAGAACAAGTACATAAGCCTGCCAGATGTATATACCCACAAAGACATACCTGTAACGAAGGACAATGTTCCTGTTGAAAAGGACTTGGAAAGATGGCCGTATCTGCAGAAAGAAGTGCAGTTACCACAGATCGACGCAGATGTTGAGATGCTAATTGGAACGAACGCTCACTCTGCGATGGAGCCATGGAAGATAATTCACAGCAAAGACAACGGGCCTTACGCGGTGAAGACGACCCTTGGTTGGGTAGTTAATGGTCCTCTCAAGAAAGGTGACAATGACCACAAGTCAAGTCACTACAGTCAAAGGGCTTCAGTCAACAGAATCTCAGTCAGCGACGTGAATAGCATGCTACTGCAACAATACAATCACGACTTTCCGGAACAAGCCTGTGAAGAAAAGTCAGAAATGTCGCAAGAAGACGTCCAGTTCATGAAGTCTGTGACGGAGACAATCAAGAAAGTCAATGGGCACTACAGTATTAGGATGCCTCTCAGAAACAAAAATGTGGTGATGCCAAGTAACAAATGTGTTGCCGAGCAACGAGCATCAAACCTGAAAAGGAAACTCGCCAAAAACTCCAGCTTCCATGACGACTACAAGACCTTCATGTCGGACCTGCTGGACAAAGGCTACGCGGTGAGAGTTCCTGAAGACGAGCGCAAGCGGAACGACGGCAGAGTATGGTACATTCCCCATCACGGCGTGGCTCATCCACAAAAGGGAAAGCTGCGGGTTGTTTTCGATTGTGCCGCTTCATTTCAAGGGAAGTCACTGAACGACGAACTGTTGCAGGGTCCTGACCTAACTAATAGTCTGGTTGGAGTCCTGACGAGGTTTCGACACAAACACATCGCACTCATCTCCGACATTGAAGCGATGTACCATCAAGTAAGAGTCCACGACCAGGACTCCGATCTTCTACGATTCCTTTGGTGGCCACAGGGGGATCTGTGCCAGCCTCTGCACGAGTACAAGATGGTGGTCCACCTGTTCGGGGCCAAGTCAAGCCCGAGCTGTGCCAACTACGCTTTAAGACGGACAGCAGAGGATGGGAAAGGCAGCTCA